ATGACCAATTATGGGCCGATCGGAAACAAATAGTAATATTTCGGTATGCGAGAGCAATAATTGTACCAAATTTTATATGGATATCTTAATTTAGTAATGAGTTATGTGCGTTTAAATGATTTTCGAGAGGGGACCTTGTATGGGAGCTATGACCAATTATGGACCGACCGGAAAAAACTTTCACAGTAATATTTCTGTGCATATGAGCAATACTTATTCCAAATTTTATATGGATATCTTAATTTAGTAATAAGTTATGCGCGTTTCAGTGATTTTCGGGAGGGGACCTTGTATGGGAGCTATGTTCAATTATGCACCGATCCAGAATATTTTTTCTCTCAAAGAATTCAATTGACATAAGATTTTAATTTGTAAAATTTTGTGAAGATATCAACATTCTGACGGAAGTTATTAACAAAAAACTAATTTTCCGGGAATATGTACTTTTGTATGGGAGCTATATGAAATTATGGACCGATTCTGGAAATTTTCAGCAGGAATCAAGATCTTGTGTAGAAACGAATGTATGATGACTTTCATAAAATTATCTTGCATAGTTTTCGAGAAAATTACTTTAGAATGTGTAAAAAGTGCTTATATTGTTTTAAATTTTCATTCATAACTTTTCCCGATGTGAACCGATTTTACCCATTTTCAATACCAAACTGTACCGGATAATAATGAATATTTTGGGTGAATTTGGTTAAATTATATTACTTCATTTTAACGTGAGCGTGTTTTACACAGTCAGACAGACAGACAGACAGACAGACAGACAGACAGACAGACGGACGGACGGACGGACAGACGGACATAGCTAAATCGACTCAGAATTTCATAAGGACCCAGAATATATATACTTTGTTGGGTCTCAGATGAATATTTCTTGGTGTTACACACGGAATGACAAACTTATATATACCCTCTATCACCACTGATGGTGGTGGAGTGTATAAATAAATAAAATCCAATATTTTATGTGTATTATTTGAATTTAAACATACAAAATGTGTTGTTCAATAATACGAATTTTTCGGTATTACGAAAGGGCCTGACACTATATAATTCGTACTAGTGGACGTCCACTCTAATAATTTTAGTTAGTATTTGTAAATGGAATATTTTTTCTTCATAGTTTTAAATTAGTATGTAGGATTTGAATAATGTACTAATATAAATTACTAATCAAAATTTGTTTATAGCATAATAATTTTAAAAATTATAACGATTATAAAATTTTCATTATTATTGGTTTTCAATTTACAAATTCTGTTAACACAAAAAAACATTAAACACATAGATAACGTCTCGTAGGATTACGGCAAACGATTGACTATCGTCAAGTAAGATCACGTGTGAGGAATTAACGGTCTCTTTTTTATAACTGTCTATAACGGTCTTTTTTTTGGTGTATAGTTTCCCATTTTCTTGTCTGTTTTAGTGTTATTTTTGTTTGTACTTATCTATTTTTCAATTATTTTCCGTATGGTCCACAGATTGTTTTTGGTGTATAGTTTCCTATTTTTTTTTTTTTTCTGTTTTAGTGTTATTTTTCTTTGTACTTATCTATTTTTCAATTATGGTTCGCAAATCTCTAGCTGATGGTACAACATAATTTTCCGTATGGTCCACAGGTTGTTGACTACGGTAAGGAACAAAATTGTAATATTGTAGACTTGTGGAACCTAACTTCACGGATAGAGTGGTTGATATCAGCTCTACTTTTGGCTCTTACTTAGCTTTTCATCTCCCAGTTCAGAGATTCGAGGCATAGATGGCTCTGTTCCGAATCTATATATGAATTGATTTTCAATTTAACAAAAAGGTTCACAGTTATGGTAAGAAAAAAATTGCTATATCCTCCACCAGCGTTTAAATATGCTGCAATAGCCCTAGATTTCTTTTGTACGACTATGCAATAAATATAAAACTTTAAAATTTTTCCATCACTTTACTACTAGAAATATTTGTTCTGTTTGCAATTTTTGTTAGCAGGCGCAAAATATTTTAAAACAAACAAAATATATTTTTCTGTTTTAGCAGCGCACGCACACACACAGTACGAACTACTATTGCCATAGAAAAATTGTGCAATAAATTGTGTTGGCTCTACTACTGACAGTAGCAAATGGAGTCAGCTGCAATGTATCGTATTTTTTACAATATGGCGGCTCTTATATTTTATATTCAATACATGTTTCAGTTTTTCTTTGTGATTTGCTGTGCTTTGTTAGTTTTTATAATAACCAGAAATTAACCCAATGTTTTCACGCTGCTCTTTGTACGTTATGGTATGTATGTATTATGTATGTATGTATTGTATGTATGTATGTATGTATGTATGTATGTATGTATGTATGTATGTAATGTATGTATTATGGTATGTATGTATGTATGTATGTGTATGTATGTATGTATGTATGTATGTATGTATGTATGTATGTATGTAATGTAGTATGTATGTATGTATGTGTATGTATGTATGTATGTATGTATGATGTATGTATGTATGTATGTATGTATGTATGTATGTATGTATGTATGTATGTATGTATGTAGGTATGTATGATGTATGTAGTGATGTATGTATGTATGTATGTATGTATGTATGTATGTATGTATGTATGTATGTATGTATGTATGAGTATGTATGATGTATGTATGTATGTATGTATGTATGTATGTAGTATGTATGTATGTATGTATGTATGATGTATGTATGTATGTAGTATGTATGTATGTATGTATGTATGTATGTAGTAGTATGATGTATGTATGTATGTATGTATGTATGTATGTAGGTATGTATGTATGTATGTATGTATGTATGTATGTATGTATGTATGTATGTATGTATGTATGATGTATGTATGTATATGTATGTATGTATGTATGTATGTAGTATGTATGTATGTATGTATGTATGTATGTATGTATGTATGTGTATGTATGTATGTATGTATGTATGTATGTATGAGTATGTATGTATGATGTATGTAGGTATGTATGTATGTATGTATGTATGTAGTATGTAGTAGTATGTATGTATGTATGTATGTATGTATGTATGTATGTAGGTATGTAGTATGTATGTATGTAGTATGTATGTATGTATGTATGTGATGTATGTATGTATGTATGTATGTATGTATGAGTATGTATGTAGTATGATGTATGTATGTAGATGTATGTATGTATGTATGATGTATGTATGTATGTATGTATGTATGTATGTATGTATGTATGTATGTATGTATGTATGTATGTATGTATGTATGTATGTATGATGTATGTATGTATGTATGTAGTATGTATGTATGTATGTATGTATGTATGTATGTATGTAGTAGTATGTATGTATGTATGTATGTATGTATGTATGTATGTAGTATTATGTATGTATGTATGTATTATGTATGTGTATGTATGTATAGTATGTATGTATGTATGTATGTATGTATGTATGTATGTATGTATGTATGTATGTATGTATGTATGTATGTATGTAGGTATGATGTATGTATGAGTATGTATGTATGTATGTATGTATGTAGTAGATGTATGTATGTATGTATGTATGGATGTAGTATGTATGTATGTATGTATGTATGTATGTATGTATGTAGTATGTATGTATGTATGTATGTATGTATGTATGTAGGTATGTATGTATGTAGTATGTATGTATGTAGATGTATGTATGTATGTATGTATGTATGTATGTATGTATGTATGTATGTATGTATGTATGTATGTATGTATGTATGTATGTATGTATGTAGTATGTATGTATGTATGTATGTATGTATGTATGTATGTATGTATGTATGTATGATGTATGTATGTACGTATGTGTATGTACGTATGTACGTATGTACGTATGTACGTATGTACGTATGTACGTATGTATGTATGTATGTGTATGTATGTATGATGTATGTATGTATGTATGTATGTATGTATGTATGTATGTATGCTATGTGATCTGTATTGTATGTATGATGTATGTAGTAGTATGTATGTATGTATAGTAGTATGTATGTATGTATGTTATGTATGTATGTATGTATGTATGTATGTATGTATGTATGTGTGTATTAATAATACTGTTTACTAACATGTTTTTACACTGTATGCATGCATAGAAAATACCTTCAAAATGTAGTACCAATAAGTATTTAAATATGTAAGAGTGCTATATTCGGCTGTGCCGAATCTTATATACCCTTCACCATAGTGTATTTAAAAATTCATTTTCCCGACTATATCATTATTATAGCAATAGCAAAACATAATGAACTACAACAACGAAATAAACACACAGAAGAAAAATACACAAGTCGGTAAAACCAACAGACATCCAAACAGACGAAACGAAATACACTAATACCCCGGTTTGCTAATAGGGCCTGAAGAAACGCGACGCAAACCGAAACGACGCAAAACTAAGCACGATTTTCCATGCATTTGTATTGATTTTCATTTAATTGGTTCCGAAATTCATAATTTTAGCTGAAAAAATAGATTTTTCAATAAAAAATATTTTTTTTAAATGGTTTTTATTATTGTAAAAATATAACAATTCATTGGAGTAACGCAAAAAAAAAAACATAATAAAAATATTATAATTAAAAATAAGGAATTCTTAGAATAAAATCAAAAGTCTTATCGTATTTTTTTTAACTTTAGTCATCTAAATCGACCAAATCAACTGGGGGATGTGTCAATCTTGCTGATTTTGTTATGTACTTGTCTAACGATTGTTGGATTGTAACGCTTTTTTTTTTCAAATAAATTTCTTTATAACAATTTATAACTTCGGTCACATTTCTAGACACTCTTAAACTGCGGTCTGCGTCCGGATCATTGTTTTCAAAAATGTCCATTGCTTGTGATATCAGCTGCATCGCTTTAGAAATTTTAGCAGCAGTAAGCTTTTTTTCAGCGGAAGTATTTGATTGTCCAGCGTATTGTTACGTTGAATTGTAGTCAAACTTTGGCTACAATTTAACTTGTTCTTCCATTCCATAAAAATTTGCATTTCTAGCTGATTCTGCAAGTTCTTTACATGTGTGGGGAACATCATTAATATCTTCCATATCTTTGAGAACACATTCGGGCCATAATTGACGCCAAGTTCCGTTCATGCTCGATTCTTTTACTTCTTTCCAAGATAGGTTTATATTTTGAATAGCCATCAGGATATTGTAATTCTTCCAAAACTCTTTCATGGATGGCATGTTATCTCCGTCAGTTGCTTTTAGAAGTTGATGACATGTTCGACGCAGATAGTATGACTTGAAGTTGGATATAACACCTTGATCCATTGGTTGTATCACAGATGTTGTATTTGGGGGCATAAAAATAACATTAATATTTTCCGAATAATCGTCTGAAAAAACAAGATGACCTGGTGCATTGTCAACTAACAAGAGCATTTTAAACTCAATATTTTTTGAAGAACAATAAGCCTTTAGCTCGGGAGCAGCACAATTGTTCATCCAATCTCTAAATAAGGATGCAGTCATCCATGCTATTTTATTTGCGCGCCAATGAACAAAAAGCTCGCTCTTTTTAACATTTTTAAAAGCTCTCGGGTTTTCAGAGTGGTAAATTAAAAATGGCTTAAATTTAAAATCTCCCGCTGCATTTCCTCCCAAAAGAAGTGTAAGTCTATCTTTGCTAGATTTATAACCTGGCGAAGATTTTTCGGATTTAGAAATGTACGTTCTTCCTGGCAAACGTTTCCAAAAAAGTCCCGTTTCATCAGCGTTTAAAACTTGTTGTGCAGAATACCCACCTTCTTCAATAATTGCTTTTAATTCAAGTTTGAACTTTTCTGCAGCTGAAGTATCAGCACTAGCAGATTCTCCTTTTAATGCAATGCTATGCAAATTTCCACGGATTTTAAAACGGTCGAACCAACCTCTGCTTGCATCAAATTCTTCCGCACTTTCGGCACTTGATAATGGATAATCTTCTCTCAGATCTTCAAATAAAGTTAGTGCTTTCTTTTGAATTACCATTTGACTTAATGGCATTCTTCGCTGATTTTGATCTTCTATCCAAATGTTAAGAAGTGACTCCATTTTTTCCATTAAAGAACTTCTCATTTTGGTAACCTGTTAATGTTGTAACGATGATGCGGTTTCAGCAAATTTTTAATTTTATCAGCGTCTCTGGAACAAATGGATTTTATTGTAGAAGGGGCTAGTCCAAGGTTTCTTCCAATACCAACAGACCTTTCTCCTGATTTAAAACGTTTTAAAATGCCAAGCTTTTGTTCTAAGCATAATTGCTTTCTTTTTTGACTCATTGCTGCAAAATATTTAGATCAACTTCACTTCAGCAAATGTAATTTGTAACTACTAACGACCTACAACTTGCTACCATCAGACAACATAAATACATATCTATGGATGTATTAACATTAGACTTAGACGGGAAATCCCCTTTTTCTGTTTGAGCTTTGTACAAACATTTTCATATTAACGACGCAAACTGAAAGATAAACGACGCAACTTCGAAGTCACAGAAATTTTAAAAGGACACAACTTCGAATTTACACTAGATTAAACAGGAAATCCCCTTTTTCTGTTTTAGCTTTGTACAAACATTTTCGTATTAACGACGCAAATCGAAGCACTAACGACGCAACTTCAAAACATGTGACGCAAACTGAAACAAAAACGACGCAACTTCGAAATCACAGAAATTTTAAAAAGACGCAACTTCGAAGCAGACGCAGAACGAGGCGACGCAGTGTACAGAAAAAACAAAAACAAAATACACAACACAATGAAACCAACAGACATACGAAATTCAATACACCAAGAAAAAAAAAACAATATACACAAGGCAATGAAACACTCAGCAATTCAAACATACGAAATCGAATGTACCAAGAAACAAAAACAATATACACAAGGCAATGAAACACACAGCCATCCAAACATACGAAATGAAATACTAAAAAAAACAAAAAGAAAATTCAAAGGCAATGAGTAAGCTGTGTTGTTGTTGTTTATTTTTTATGAAATTTTCAGAGGTTGTCTCGGATTTTTGCTTATATCTCTGTTGTTTATAAACGGATTTTGCTGATTTTAAATAGGAAACTTCTCGAAAGCATGTCTGATAGAATTATTGAAGATTTGGATCCCGAAGATATCTGGGGTCTTCAGAAAACTGATTTCAACAGACAGACAGACGGACATGGCTTAATCGACTCCGTTACTATAAGGATTCAGAATATATATACTTTATAGGGTCGGAAAATTATATTTTGGAAATTACAAACGGAATGACAAACTTATATATACCCTTCTCACGAAGGTGAAGGGTATAAAAATAAATAAATTGCAACTGTCAGTTGCTCATTTTGCTACTAGCAGTAGCAGAACCAAAACAATATACTGCAGCTAGGAAGAAATTAGTAGCACAACGATGGCGTGTGTGCGTTACTATAGCGAAAATCACTTAAACGCACATAACTCATTACTTAATTAAGATATCCATATACAATTTGATACAAGTATTGTTCGTATATACAGAAATGTTACTGTGAAATTTTTTTCCGATCGGTCCATAATTGGTCATAGCTCTCATACAAGGTCCCCTCCCGAAAATCACTTAAACACACATAACTCATTACTAAATTAAGATATCCATATAAAATTTGGTATAAGTATTGCTGTTATGTACAGAAATGTTACTGTGAAATTTTTTTCCGATCGGTCCATAATTGGTCATAGCTCCCATACAAGGTCCCCTCTCGAAATATAAAATTTGGAACAAGTATTGTTCGTATACACAGAAATGTTTCTGTGAAATTGTTTTTCGATCGGTCCTTAATTGGTCATAGCTCCCATATAACTCATTACTAAATTAAGATATCCATATAAAATTTGGTACAAGTATTGCTGTTATATACAGAAATGTTACTGTGAAATTTTTTTCCGATCGGTCCATAATTGGTCATGGCTCCCATACGGGGTCCTGACCCGAAAATTTGAATTTCCTTAATTCTTTCACACAAATTATTAAAAATCGCTAAATCATATCTTAAGGCGCTTTAAAAATATAAAAGAAAATAGAGTTTGTAGTGTTCAATAAATCTTGTAATTGTAACAGATTCAAGATGTTTAAATCTTGGGGTTTTTTTTATTTAAGACATGAGAAAACTTATTTCTACAAATATTTCATCAATTAAAAAAGTATTAATATAAAAGTAGCTGGTGGAGGGTATTTATGATTCGGCTTAGCCGAATATAGCACTTTAACTTGTTTTTTTTATACCCTCCACCACCATCAGTGGTGAAAGAGGGTATATATGAGTTTGTCATTCCGTGTGTAACACCAAAAAATATTCATCCGAGACCCAACAAAGTATATATATTCTGGGTCCTTATGAAATTCTGAGTCGATTTAGCTATGTCCGTCTGTCTGGTTAAAACACGCTCACGTTAAAACTAAGCAAATGACATCAACCAAATTCACTGGGAATATTCATTGTTTTCCTAAGCAGTTTGGTATTGAAAATCAGCAAAATTGGTTCACAACGTAAAAAGTTATGAGTAAAAATTTTAGACTACCTGAAAAAAATTGAGTTTTTTCCCTAATTCTGGAGTAGTTTTCTCAGAAACTACCAAAGATAATTCGACAAATTTTGTCACAGATTATTTTTTCCATCTATAGATTAATTATGTTTAAAATTTTAACAATCGATCCAAAATTTCCCATAGCCCCCATACAAAGGTACATATTCCCGGAAATGAATTTATCGTTAATAACTTCCTCAAATCTATCGGTATCAACACAAAATTGTGTACATATTGACATTATATGAACAGGAATCAAAACTATGGACTTAGATCTGTATCGGTCCACAATTGGTCATAGTTCCCATATAAGGTCCACTTTCGAAAATCACTTAAATGAACATATTTTATTGATAAATAAAGCTATCGGGATAAAATTCGACATGAATATGTTTTGTATATACATAAATCATTCTACGGAATTTTTTTCCGGATCGGTCCATAATTGGTCATAGCTCCCATATAAGGTTCACATCAGAAAATCACTTAAACGAGCATAATTTATAGATAAATAAAGCTATCTGGCAAAAATTCGACATGAATGTGTTTTGTGTGTATATGAATTACTCTACGAAATTTGTTCCGGATCGGTCCATAATCGGTCATAGCTCCCATATAAGGTCCATATCCGAAAATCACTCAAATGCGCATAATTCATTGATTAATGAAGCTATCAGGGTAGAACCCGAGGTGAATATGTTTTGTATATAGATATAAATCATTGAGAGAAATTTTTTCCGGATCAGTCCACAATTGGTTCTAGCTCCCATATAAGGTCCACATCCTAAAATCACTTAAACAAGCTTAATTCATTGATAAATAAAGCTATCGGGATAAAATTCGGCATGATGTGTATAATATTAATTTTGTGTATAAATATTAATTACTTTACGATTTTTTTTTCGGATCGGTCCATAATTGGTCATAACTTCCATATAAGGTCCACATCCGAAAATCACTTAAATGCGCATAATTCATTGATAATTAAAGGTAACAGGGTAAAACTCGACGTCAATTTATATAAATCATTCGTGAAAATTTTCCACATCGGTCCATAATTGGTTACATTCCATATAAGTAATTTTTTCAGCATCGGTCCATAACTAGCTCCCATATAAGGTTCTCTTCTGAAAACCACTTAATGCCACATAATTTATTATTAAACTCGACATGAGTATGTTCTGTGTATAGATAAATCATTTTGATTATTTTTTTTCGAATTGGTCTATTATTGGTCATAGTTATCGGCAGGATCGGCACATAATAGGTCATAGAATAATCGGTAGGTATCTGAAAATCACTTAATACAAATGTTTCTGGGACTAATCAAGATTAGTTACATACATACATGCATAAAGAATTTACAAAATGATAAATAGTATCTTAATTACGGAAACAAAACATGCGCCGGGTTTTACAGTTCTCCATAAGGGAAATAAAGTACTTTAGTACTTAAGCTACGTTTACACCTGAAAAATATTTGGTCCAAATATTTGTAATAAATATTTTTGAAGTTGCGTCAAACAAACGCAATATTTATTTCATGTTCGGACTTGAACAAATATTTGGTGGTATTGTTTTATCACAGTATATCGTATATTTTCATGCATGAAAAAAACAATTTACCAATTTGTTTTAATTTTAACTATTTTTATTAGGTTTAAAATTAAATTTATATAATAAAAGTGTATAATATTAATATATAACACGATTGAAAAAAAATTGTTTGTCGAATCTGTACCCCGTTTCTGTAACTTTGAGTGAGAAGTTCTCACATCGAGAAGTGTGAAACAAAAAATTCCATCGTTTCTCGATTTGTGAGTAAAAAGTGTTTCTGTAACTTAAAGTGAGAAGAGGCTGCACGAATTACGTTTTTATTGGAAATTTCCAATAAAACAGCTGTCAAAAACATAAAAATTAAAAGAAGAAAACAAAAATTGCCGAACAAATTTATAAACGAAGAATAAATAAACAAAAAATATAGAAATGAAAATTGTTCGAAAAATTATCCCACTAAATTTGCCCTTGGCAAATTCTAAGTTTATGTCCACGTACTTTTTTAGAATTTGCTTCTGTATATCCGAAATTCCTCCTATTTTCTAAAAATTAGTGAACAATATTTATTTTAATCTTAAATAATTATAAATATAACATTACTTTTTCATTGTTTCATATAATTCATGTTTAAATTAAATTTTATTTACTTAAAAATTTCCTTTCCGCACCGTTTTAAAATGTGAGTTTTTTTGAAAGTTCATGTGAGAAACTTCTCACAAAATTTTCTTACTCACAAATTTCCAATAACTTAAGTCAAAAAACATAAATGACAGATAGTTCTCACAAAATTTTCTTACAGAAACACTTGCATGTGAGAAATGATATTTTGTTTCAATTCACATTGTTATACCCTTCACCTTCGTGAGAAGGGTATATATAAGTTTGTCATTCCGTTTGTAATTTCTACAATATAATTTTCCGACCCTATAAAGTATATATATTCCGAGTCCTTATAGATA